GTTGAAATCCAGCAATATGACCAATTTGATTAAATGTTCCCATATAGAACTTTAACAATAAAGATGTAGATATTTATGATTATCATTTATACATTTGTTCTGTATCGGTATAAATGCATTTGTTTATCACAAATGCTTTAATTGGTGATGATATATGAACTTAACCATATGCATAATTGTGTATGGGCATTTACGATATCGGTTAGTAACTACGCATAGGCACATCTCTACTCACAACTGAGCCTAAAACGGAGATTTTGGTATCTTCTTTGATATTCGGCTTATATTAAAATTGGAGAAGTTGGAAAATGAAAAAAGAATTTAATCGCAAAGAAAAGCGGATATATTTATCTCGAAAAGAATCGAATCTAAAAAAAAAGTGAGAACACAAGGAAACTTTAATTTCCCCTCGCATAAATATAACCGAGATTTATGTGTTACTAGAACTATTGTTAACGTTAAGTTATGGAGGTTACAATGGAGTTGTATAACTCTACCCTTTCTGCGACGCGCTTTTACAGTACTCGGACTATTTAGCGTCTTATAAAGCAAAAGACGTGAAAGGCTACTTTAAGAAAACCAAGGACCCAGAAAAATCAGCTACATAGACATCGGTATAAAAGGAAATTTTTATACACGTATGTACTACAAAGAATCATTTTATAGATTATCCCTCTTTATGTTTATTTATGAAAAATGCCTCCCAAGCAAAAACGAATAACTGCATATAGTCGTGCACAAGAAATTTTCGTTATGATAATGGAATTTTATTACATGTACATTTATTACGGCTTGTAGTCATTCAATTAAGTGGGAACATAAAATAACTATTATTTCTACGACAGCAAGTCATGAAAAATCATAATCTTGTACAAATAACACAACAAACGTTAAATTCAACACTTAATAATAATGTATCTAATGACACTTTTGAATTGATTTTTGTAAAATTTCAAATATATTTAGTTATCAATTTCATCATGTAGTGTAGAACGTAGAACAAAATTTTGCAATTATTAATATATTTGATAAATAAAATTCAAATTTGGAATAAACGGAATTTTTTCAAAATCAAAAAGAAATTTTTTCAATTCACAACGGAATTTCCGTGTCCTTGAACCAAAGCCCAACGTTGGCGGTTGAAGCACTAATTCTACCCTGGACAATAGAACATATAAAATGCGCTGCCCGGATTTTGTAATGATCTATTCTAATACTTTGGAGATGCTTCGGTCCTACAAAGTTATAGGTATAATAAATTTCCACAAACGAAGCATATCGACAGATTTAATCATGTCCTGAGAAAATGAAAATAATCATGAGGAAGAACGAGTGTTCGAAGGCAATATCAAAAAGACACATAGGAACATCTAACAAACCGATCGGTAATATTCATACTTTAATCTGGTTTTCATTTCCACATCTTAACTCATTAATATTCCTTATACACACAGAATGATTCATTATTGTCAAATATATCAAGCATAGCTCACGACTGAAGCACCGTGCATACTTGTATCGCTTCTATTAAATCTATCAAAGTAATTACTTAGAGAAATGCTCGATAAGATAAATTATCATTTGTATTTCATATGCTTTCATGACAAACTATGTTCTAATTAGATAGTATTTATTAAAGCCTCGATTTTTTTATTGAATTGTTATAATATTAGTTCATAACAATCTTATGCGCGATTTTACATTCACACATCTACATGGCAGCAGTATTAAAGTCCAAAAATACACAGGCTTTTTAATGCCTCCTGGAACCAAAAACGTGAATGATTATTTTACAAAGATCGAAGCCAGACATTGGCAATTGAAGAACTATTTAGACTATCGTCTAGAGAATGACATACAATTCTACCCCGGGCGACAGTCTATAAGGATTGGGAAATATCTCTTAAAGCAATTAATAAGAACAGTTCTAGGGAGGTTCCGTCCTGTGTATCTGCATATACTATAACGATAAATCTCGTGAGTGTCTACAGTGATCGTCATAAATATTCGGAATTTTTAAATTTGTTTATAAATTATATGATAACAATGAATAGAATTTCGTGAAATTTTTCAAATATATGTTTTTTGATATGAAGAACAAAGTTACTTAAGACATATTGGTATAATATCTTATTAAAATATCATCAAATTATAAAAAACTAAAAGCAACCATAAATGTATATCTTTATTGATTATTTAATGAAAAAATGTCAGAATTATATCAAAATTTATAAATATCTTCTTTGTAATATATATAATGAACAATTTCACCTATAATAAAATAATATGATTACTTAATATTATTTTTAATAATATAAGCTCAATCTTTGTTGGATCTGACTTATTTTTACAATAAATTTTACTGAGAAAGGTGTAATAATAATTAATAATAATTGATAATAATTCTGTAAAATATTTAAATTAAACTTGTTTTACAGGTTGTGTCCAAATTATCAGGCAATTTTGACAATTTTTCATTATTCTATGCACTATATCAAAAATTCCGAATATTTATGACGACCACTGTATGAAGGTGCTTCGATCCTACAGACTTGTACACTTTGGTATAACAAACTAAGCTCTGATAGCGATAATTCTAATCGTGTCCCGGGGAAATAGAAAGTGGAGAAGAACAGTGCTAAAAAGACAGCATCATACACCAGAGCACGGAGGGGAACATTAAACGAATTGGCTGATTCTGAGATAGCAAGTTTTAATCTAAACGTCTCTTCTACGGAGACCGAATTATTGATGCCGTCTCAAAAAGACTTTAAAGTATCCTGACGATGATAGCCAAACTGACGTTTGGTTATTACCTTCAGGAAAATCAGTAAAAGATATAATCCATGGTCCAGCCAATCTTCACGAATCTCAGTGAGTTACAGTTTCACATTCCTTATCTCTTCTTTATGTCTTCTGATTTCACTTATGCTATTTTGCTGTTTACATTTAGGATGATTGGAATAATTTGAATTCAAGTGTTGATTTTTTCTGTCTTCTGAAGTAGAAAAACTCTTCAGTTTGCTCTCAGAAACCGTAAGTATAACTAATGTTTATTTTTTTATAATGAAAATGTTATTTATATTTGTTAATTAATAATAGAATTCATTAATGGAATACGAGCAAACCGTACTTAAAGAAATGCGGTTTGTTGTAGACGTACTTTTATGGTTGTAAGTAAGTATTATATTTTTTAAAATGTTTGTTGTCAATCATTCATTAGAAGTAATGTTTTAATTTTGAAGTGCCAGTAAAGTATTCAATCCATCCTCCGCCTTTCACAGCAAACACACCGGCGAAGCACTTTTGGGATTCTTCAATGATCCATCCAATATTACAATACCTTATGAATGCTACTGACAGTATTTATTATGTTCCGTATGTTAAATATAAAATTAATGTTTGATTTATATTTCATTTTTTAAAATATTAAAAAATCATGTTTTTACAAAAAATAAAATAGCGGCGAAATTCATTTAAGATCAAGCGCTAATCAACAACGCATAAGACGTAATTTAAAACCCGAAGATGATATACCATGTGGATAGCTCATTCCACACCCGCGGCGAAAATGGACGTGGATTTGGATCCACTGACCATCAAGAAGCTTATACTTATTTCTTGGAACAAGAACACAAAAAAAAAGTTATTGAACAATGGAAGTTAACTGCAGAACAAGAAAGACTCCTTACCTAACTATTAGAAGATAATGCTAATATCTTTGCAACTGAATTACGTCAACTTGGCTGAAGTAATATTATTCAACATGAGATACATACTGGAAATGAATCACCTATTAAATAATAACCTTATAGAACTACTCTTCTAGATCAATCATTTATATCTGAAGAAATTCAAAGAATATTAGATGCAAATATAATCCAACCTTCAACTAGTCCTTGGGCTTCACCTATTGTCATAGTTTCTAAAAAGAATGGAAAGAAAAGATTTTATATTGATTACAGAAAATTAAATGCTATTATCCAAAAAGATGCATATTTATTATCTAGAATTGATAAAATGATAGACTTACTTGGAAATGCTCACTAGTTTTTATCTATGAACTTAATCTCTGGATATTGACAAATTAAAATGAAAGAAGAAGATAAATCTAACTGCTTTCATCTTTAGAGAAGAACTTTTAAATTTAATATTATATCTTTTGGATTATGCAATATCTCAACAACTTTTTAACAAATAATAGATATTATGCTAGATGATTATAATTAGAATTTTACCAATATATATATTGATGACTTGAATGTATTTTCAAAAGATTTTGAAGAATACTTGGATCATCTCAATAAAATATTTTGCAGAATTCAAAATGCTAATTTAAAACTCAATCTAGAAAAATATAATTTTTGCAAAGAGAATTATTTTTTCTTGAATATATAATAACTTAAGAAGAAATTTTATCTAACTTGTTAATTATTTAAAAGATAAAAGATTTTTCTTAATCAAGAACTGTCAAAGAACTTAGATTATTTCTTGGCTTAGCTAGATATTATAGAAAATTTGTAAAAAAATTTTCTCAAATTACTATTTTTCTATTCAAATTCTGAAATAAAGAATTATTTATTTAGATTGTAAAACAAGAAAAAGCTTTTCAATAAATTAAATAATATCTTATAACTATATTTATTTTAATTTATCCAGACTTTATAAAAGAAATTTTATCTTTATACTAATATCTCAGACTCAAGACTTGGAACTGTTCTATCTTAGAAAGATAAAAATGAAAAAAAAATAAGTAATTACTTACACAAGTATTATTTTAAAATCAAATAAATAAAAATATAAAGTGATAAAAAAAGAAGTACTAGTAATAGTATGAATTATTAAATAATTTCATTATTATATACTTGGAATTATATTTAAAATAATTACTAATCACAATATTTTAAGATAGTTATTTAAAAATTAATAAAGTCACTCTGCTAGAATAAACTGATAGATCATATCTCTTATGAAATATATCTTTATTATTACTTATTGATCTGAAAGAAAGAACTAAAATACTAATACTTTATTCTAAATATATTTAAAAGATTATTAAATAATTTCTTACTTTATAATAATAATATAGATTTAATAACTTACTATAATTTATAATGATATTTGAATAATAAAATATATTCTATATGATTAACTTTTGAATAATAATAAAAAATACATAATTAAGCAAAATATTTTTATAAATTGATAGTATCTTATATAAAATTAATAGAAGAAAAAAACTAATTACATTTCTTAAAGTTATTAAAGAAAATAAAATGGAAATTATTTTTATTAATTTATATTCAAACTTATTATTTGGATATTTTAGATATGAAAGAACTTATTAATGAATTGTAAATAAATATTAGTAGAATAATATGTGAACTTATATAAAGAATTTTATGAAAACTTATGAAATTTATTAGTGAACTAGTAAAAAAATTACCAAATAATCTTTATACTTTATCAAAATTAGATAATTTTTTGACAGAATAGTTATAGATTTAATTGAATCTTATAAAATAATAATAATTAGAAATTGATATATTATTATATTAATTGAATATCTTATAAAATAGTCTGAAGCTAAAGTAATTTCTGACAAGAAAGCTACTATAATTGCAAAATTTATCTTTAAAGAAATAATTTGTAGATATGGATATTTTAAAAAATTTAATCAAATAATAGATTAGAATTTATTAACAAAATAGTTAAAGAATTATCAACAAAATTTAGAATCAAATATAAATTTTTTTCATCTTATCATTCACAAACTAATAAAATAATAGAATATTTAAATAAAATACTGTGTATAATATTATAAAAATTGACTATAGTATATAAATAAGAATAAGATATCTTTATTTTTGCTATTCTTTTTACTTATTAAACTAATCAAAATTTAATAATAAAATATAAATTATTTTTCTTAACTTATAAATGAAATACTAAATTATTAATTGAATTACAAATTCCTACTTATTTAGAAGAAAACTTCACAGAAGAAGAAAAATTAATATAATAAATATATTATATAATAGATTAATTATCTCAACAAATTTTAGAAGCAAAATAAAATATAAAAGAATAATAATTATAATATTTTCAAATATATAATGATAAAATTCAAAATAAAATAATATTTGAAATTAGAAATAAAATATTAATATTTGACATGAAATAATACTCAGTAATTAAAGATAAATTTCAACCTATATAGAGTAAAGAATGATATTATATTCATGATTATATTAAATATAACTCTTACAAAATTTGTAATTAGAATAGAAATATTCATAAGTATTTTATTAATGGAAAATAACTCAAATATTATCATAATTATCAAGATTACTTTAAATTACAAATTATTATTAAATAACTCATATAGATCACCTCTTAATTTTTGTTATCCTTATATTCAAAATTTCTTTTTATCTTATTTTTATCTATTTTTGTATTTATTTTTCTTTAATAATGTTTAATATCTTATTATTTATAGTAAATTTTTAGTTCAAATTTTATATAAATACTCTCTTTATTCTCCTTTCCTTTTTTTTACTCTTTCATATTTTTACTTTTTATCTATTACTTTTATCTTTATTATCTTATACTCTTTTAAATTCTTTTATACTTTTTATTTTATTATTATTATCATGTCTTAATTACTTACTTGAATTATATCTCAAATAATCAAATCTCTTGAAGAGATCTATCAAGAAATACTTGTTTAATAACTCTTTGAAATAATTATTTTCTTGATCTTTGAATTATTTAGCTATGATAATACAGAACAGAAAATTAATATTTTGCTTTTAGATTTACTCATACAATCTGAATTTATTAAAGATATTGAAATTAATAATACTTTTTTCTTGAATATTCAAATAGCTATTGAATTACTTGAAGTACCTGTTAAACCAGTTAATATCATTATTAACTTAGACTTTAATTAGTTAAATACTTTTATTATTACTTTACCAGAAGACATATTTAAAATTAATATTAAGGAAGAAGATATTGAAGAAGAATTAGAATTCATAAGTTCTGATAGTTCAATAACTTCTAAAGAAAAGTCTGAATTACCTATTTTTATATCTTAAGAAGTTAAATTTACTTTAAAAAAAAGACTGGCTAATACAACTTAAAAAAGTTGTATTATTAATCTACAATAATTTGATGAATAATAATTAAATAATGATTCAATATAATAAATTAGAATATATACTTTCAATTCAATCACAAAAAATTTAAGAGATATGTTAGAAATCAAAAAGAATATTGAAAATATTCTTGAAAAGTGTATATATGATAGACTATATAATATTACTTACAAAGTTTTTTTATTTATAAATCTGAAGAAGAAGTATTTGATAATTAATTTGAGTTTATACTATTTAAGTTATATTACTTGAACAAGAAAGAACTATTAAAGATTATTAATTAATTTTTGCAGAAGCAAAAATTTTCTGAAGAAAAACTATATATTATTATAGTAATATAAAATTCATTAATTTCTTAATCTTTTTTTGGTTATATAAAATTATATTTTTATATAATTTTATATTTCTCTTATAAATATCACTATTTTTATATTATTTATTTATTTTAATACTATATTTATTATCATATTTCTATTTTTAAATACTATATTTTATTTTTATTCAAGATTTATATTTTTATAATATGATATTTATATATATTATAGAATAATATAGTATAAGATCATTTTTAATATTGATAGAACTGTTATATTTGGAATATCAATTATAAATATCTTTTTATATTTTTTAATATCTTTCTATATCTTTCAATATCTTTTCATATTTTTTAATATCTTTTCATATTTTTCAATATTTTTCAATATTTTTCCATATCTTTCAATATTCTTTTATATTTTTCAATATTCTTTTATATTTTTTGATATTTTTTAATATATATATTTCTAAATATTAATATTTATAATACTTTAATTATAATATATATATATTTAGATAGTATTAGTTAGTAATACTGTAATAATTTATATATTTGAAAATATATAAAAAAATCTATTATCTCAGCTTGAAATAAATAATTTTTGAATTAAATTATTTGAAAAATATAATTAAAAAGCTTATTATTATAATAATAGTAATTTTTTTACAAGATTTCTTTTCTAATTATACTAGTATTCTTTCTTTTACTTAATTTTATTTCTTTAATTATATAAAGTTAATTTTGATTTTTGAACTATAATATTATATTGATTTTTGATTTATTTGATATTATTTTAAGAGTAAAAGATCTTTACTATAAATAAGTCATACTTTTATTTGTTTTATTTTAAGATTAGAAGATCTTTATTATAAATAAATCATATCTTTTTAGTTATTTAGTTTTTGTACTTTAGTTTTTATCTTTTTTTAGTTATAGTCTTCTTTAATTAATAGTAGTTTTACTATTTAATCACTTTAAATCTTGAATTATATTAATTAGTAATAGCTTTACTAAGTTAATCTTTATAATTTTCTTGATTTATTTCTTTTTTTCATTATTATTTT